CTCTTGTTCAGTCTAGGCTCCCAGCCTAGGGGGTGACACCACCCATATATACAGCACGTCTTCCCCTCCCGGTTAAACCTCTCTCTGTTAATGCCCTCAGACCGAGAAAGGTATGTCTCCCAGGTGATTCTAAAGCAAGAGGAAGTAGGTGCTAAAGCAGCTTCCAGCATACCCGCTTGAGCAAGTAACTCTGGGCAGTAAAAGCTCTCCACTCCAACACTCTTTCAGATCTAGACATAAGAGCTTCCGCTTACATGGTGCCTGCATTTGACCCAGCAAGGAACCCTGTGCACATGCACCAACAGAGGAACTCCACACACAGCTCAATGAGTACTGAAAGATGCTAAGGATGGCTAAATTAACCAAGAAGTCTTTGCATGCCCTCTAAGCACAATAAATAATAAGCACACACACACAAATTCCATGCTGCTCTCTGCCATCTTTTGCCACTTGGTCCCAATGCTGGGGACTGGTCCTAGGGCCCCTACATCCTCCATAAGAGTTCTCTCACAGACAGACTGCCTCCCGCCACTTTTATTTTACATTACACTGGGAGACAAGGTCCTACTAAGTCGCCCAGTTTAATCAGCCTTGAACTGTCCTGCAGCCAGGCAGGCCTTAACTTGAGTCTTCTGCCTCAGCCTTCAACTGGGATCATATAGGCCTGTGACACAGAGCCTGGACAGTTATCTCAGAAGAAGATTTAAATACCAATACAGCTTCTTTAAAATGGTGATTCATTTGTCAGAAGTTTATCTTAATCTGCATGAAAGTTTAAAAAGACTCATCTGAACAGCTCTGAAAGCTGTGATTGGGGTAATGTTGAAATCACCTCAAAGCCCTTCGTTTGTAAACAATCTGTGACTGCCATCTCATGGCTGATGGATTGCTGTTCCCAACCATGCTCATCAACATGGGATGAAGAATAGACATAGATCTTCCTGATACTTCTCAAAGAAAGGTAGGATGGAATGTTTCCTCAAGATGGAATTCATCTACATAACTTTCAAAGTTTCCAAACTTTCAGAAATTGGCCATATCCTGCCAATCGTGAGGGGGAAAGACGGGCACTGCATTCAGGATAACAGCCACTAGCACCTACTAAACTGCATGTGCTCCTCACTGTCCCGGTTATTTTATACGTTACCACACTCATTTGATACTGAGAGCCCTAGGGAGCAGCACTCCACCACTGCAGATCTCTTTCAAGGGATTAACTCATATGGCCAAGGCCACATAACAGGGCTGGGCCAGGATGTTTGACTTCAGAACCTAAACTCGTAAGCTCTGCCCATCGTGGCAAAATTTACACCGGAAATAACTTAATGAGCACCAACCTCATTTACTCATCAGATAGCTACACGGATATGAAAGGAAGACTTGGAACGGGACGCTATGTTATGCCCAGTGTACTCAGGTCTTAAGCCACGCCCACAATGCCATGGCTCCACTGTCTTGGTGCCCAGGTGCCTCAGTGGGACTCAGACACTGAATGCAGAGGTGATCCTGAGCTGCTTCGGGCATAGGCTAGCAGCTACCCTGCACTGTAGGACACTCACTATAGATGCCATCTTAGCAGAGTCGAGCATTCATTTTCAAGTAAAGCATACATTTTCCATCAACTATTTATAGACCGTCCAAGCACCACCATTTCTTGTCAATATAATACCCTTAGGGACTTCAGGAAGACCAAACTTTGGCCACTCCTGGCCTCCAACCGCAATCCCATCACACTGCACCATTAACCTCTGACACCAACCAGCCAAAAGAACAGTGTCAGTAGCCATCAAGATGATCTAGGGAGGCAGGATACTTAAATATTTAAACAGGAGGATCGCCAATTACCACTTGAAAACATGCCTTTTGATCCATTTTATGCTGTGGAAAGTTCTACCGCGTAGTAGAATTTCCTATTGCAGTACGATGCGAAGCGGCCTACCTTTTCAGTCTCTACATCTCTAGTCTAACAAACGTCAGAAAGACCAGTTGGTTGATGACATATCCAGGGCACCACGTCTTCTCACGCTGACAGACACTTTGATCTTGTGTATCAAAAACAACGGACACTTAGGAGCAAGGTGCTATGAAGTGCAAAGAGAGACCCAGTCCCTGTCCTCCGGGAGTCGTGATACAAATACAGACTCACCTAGGGCGCGTTCTCTTTACACCAGGGGTAAACAAATGCAGCTGGGGGGGGGGGCAAGGGACAGTTGCACAAGCGACTTGCATAATCTCTCCAAACCCAGGCTTTTCCAGTTCCTTTGCCTGTATCTGCCCTAAGCCCCTGCCCCCCACCTGAAATTATTCTAACCCTTACACTGTAAACTTTGGGACCCTCCTTCAGATTAACTCTAGATACACACACACACACACACACACACTTGTTTGCTCCCAGAGGAAGACAAATGGCTAGTCCCACCGGTACGACTAGCAAGGTTCTTTCTGTCTTACCTAGCCCACCCTCACTTGGAGGATTGGATAATAAGCAACATTTCAGGAAGCCCCAAGGTTCCTCGTGTTTATCGGAGCCTGCTTAGATAATAGCAAGGCTATTTCTGCCTTTCTGCTGTTTTATCCTCCAACACTGAGCACAGAGAGGAGGCGAAGCTATAAGCTACTGATGTTTCAAGCATCCAGCATTACCTTTACCCCTCTGCCCCAAGGCCTTATAAACCACCGCTCTGGATCAATCTATTTGTTTGCTTCCTATTAATTTAAAGACTATTCTATAAGCGCAGATTGTATGGACATTACAAGCCAGTCTTTAGTGGACATAGTTTACAGGTCCCTGATGGTTTCCACACCGTCTCTCCACAGAAGCTATTCTCAGCCTTCCCAAGCTCCCACTCATAGCCTCGCAACCTGGACTTCGGTTTCACTGAGAAAATGGTACTATTTGGGCTTGAAATACACATGCTTGCTGCCCACACCTGCCTCCATCTCGGCTCTGCGCTCTGCTGTGCCCTGGTTCTTCCATCCATCGGCTCACTCAGCAGTCTTGCCTCGTCTAATAGCTCTTTCCCTTCCTCACACAAACATGCTCAAAAGCACCGTGAAAAAGAACCACCAAACCACGATGCGGTCATCACGCCAACACTCCCTGTCTGTCTGTGCTCCCGACAGCCAAGCCTCAGGAAAGAGCCCGTCATCTCACTCGGAGTTAAGCGTGCAGCCTAAGGCATGCCAGTCCACCCGGGAAACCACTCACAGCCACGTGACCACACGAACCCCAAGTTCACCTTCTCAGTTCCTCCTGGACTTGCCCTCTCCACAGCACCTGACGTCTAGCAACTCTCATCTTGAAACTCTCTGACTTGGGGTTCCTATGACATCACCGCCTGGTGATTCCACGTCCTCACGTCGGAACGCTCTTGCTCAGCCCCTCTGGTCAAACCTTACATTTTAACATTTTTCCCAGGATTCTATTCTTGGCTTTCCTCTTCTCAAACTAAACTCTTCCCCGGGGAGAAGGAGCAGCAAAGCACTGTTTACACTATGAATTATCCCACATGCCCATAAATCAATAAGACTAAATTTGAATTCATTCGCTTCCTCTCCCCGCTCATCTCCACACCAGAGCTCACCTCTAGCATGGTCCTCTCTGTTTGCTTACCTGGCTGTCTCCCATGCTCTCTGCACCCAAGGGACAGACACTGGTGTCAGTGGCGGCGACTTCCTGGTGTGAGGGCTGGAAGTGTGGGTAGGTGTGACTTAGCGAAAGCAATGCATCACAGGGGAGCTAAGGAGTGTGCCACCGCAGGAAGAACCACCAGAGCTCCCCGAACTAAGGAAGATCTAGAGGGAGATTTACATATGCAAATAGACGATATAGATATAGACATCTACATCTCCTCTGCGGCACTTCTCTGCTTATCATAAATGCCAGTGATATAATGGGAAGTCAATTTATATTTTGATTTTGTACATGAAAGAAGAGGAGGAATGGGGGAAGGGGTAAGAGTTCAGCAACCACAGGTAGAAGGAAATCAGTCAGAGGGAACAGGAAAGCTGGGGCAGAGTGTGCTGGGCTGCAGGGTGGAGAAGGTCAACATCCGGACATTGAGAGGCATCATACAAGATCTCTTTTTTTTTTTTTTTTTTTTTGAGTGGAGATGCAATTTGCAGGTGATGGTGAACAAGCTATTCCTTTAAGCAATGCAATGTTGATTAGAACAGAGGCTGGAACAGAAGGGCCCTCTTTAAAAGTTCCCTGATGAATTGCCTAAATAGAGAGAAATGGAAGCCTGAGCTACAGCAGCTGCCTGAACAGCAGCTGAGGTGAAAATACAAGAAATGTTGTTTTCTAAGGCTGAAGATAAATAACAAAGGTTTTGAGTGCTTAAGAACAATAGAATTAAGTGAAGGATTAATTTAAAAGAAGTACAAACTTTAAAAACACAAAAACTGAAAAGTGAAAAGGAGCTGGGCAGTGGCGGCACACGCCTTTAATCCCCGTATTCAGGAGGCAGAGGCAGGCGGATCTCTGTGAGTCAACTGGTCTACAGAGCAAGTTCTAGGACATCCAGAGCTACATAGAGAAACCCTGTATCAAAAACCAAACCAACAACAAAAATAAAAGTGAAGAAGAAAACAATCCTTGTTTGTTTGTTTGTTTGTTCGTTTGTTTAAAACAGTTTCACTGTGTAGCCCAGGGCTGCCCTGGAATTCATGGCAATCTTCCTGCCTCAGCCTCCTAGGATTTCAGGTATGAGCCACTGTGTGTGTGTGTGTGTGTGTGTGTGTGTGTGTGTGTGTGTGTGTGTGTGTGAGAGAGAGAGAGAGAGAGAGAGAGGAATATCTTTAAATGTACATATTCAAATATATATATTTGAAAAACACATTTAGACCCAAGTTTACTGAGCCAATAACTGATCATATGTTTGTTGTTAGAATGTAAAACATATTGATTAGAGTTAATTGTGTCAGCAAGGACTGAACCAAGCGTCTGCACATGCTTAAGAATTGCCACCCCACAGCCGGAACAGAGGACATAACCATACCGTGAAGCTGTTGTTGACATTTTTGGTGCTTGCTTCAGCGACGCTGGCATCTGAGAGGTCAACTTCATCAAATATCAAGGACTGTTGATAAACAAGAACACAAACGGATTATGTGGAGAGCTTGCTCTTCAGTACATTTTCACTCTCAGCCCACAACAATGAAAGTGATATCAAGAATTAGGGATCAAAAATGAATGCCAACTTAGGGATGCTACACAAGTCTGTCTCGGGAAGAATGAGTCTGTTCAACATGGCCACCCTACACAACGGACCGCCGACTTCTGGAAGCCTATCTGCTATGGTTAGAAGAACCAACTCAAGAACCAACACACACACACTCACCCTCTCATACCCTAAAGCCTGAGGCAACTCTGCAGGCAGTCGAAGGCGTCGTTGCTCACAGGTTTGTTGAGTGGAGACTGAGAACTAGCCCTGGCTCAGATCACGGTGATCTGGACCAAATGCTTTGGACCTTATTGTCCTTGTCTATCAAAAAGTGTCCAAATAAGATGGTGACCCTGTTCTGCAAACAGAAGACCATGTTTCTCTCATGCTCTTAAATATTATTTTAATCAAAAAGTGGTGAAAGCTCCAGGAAAAAAAATGGGACTTCTTTCAAAGAACAAATTAGGCATTAGGAAGTGTGAACACATGCATGCATCTTCCCCTTTTTTAGTGAGTTGGTCGCTGCTCAGCTTTCAAGTCAGTGAACTTCCCACACAAGTGGAATTCACCTCCACGGCTGCAGAGAAACGTGTCTCCCCTTCCTGTAGGGTCTACTCTCCCAACCAGGGAGTTATACTAAGGGGATTACATTAAGTTTACTATAACGTTATTAGTTTACTTTAATTCAACTAGACTTGCTCCCAAACTGGAAGGGGCGTACAATGTGGCCAGTATATGAAACAGACAATTCACTGCAGTGCGAGATAGACTCTTAAACATGGAGGACTGGAGTCCTAGGGAAAGGCTATGCAAAGTCACCAACAGTGTTCTCAGCAGAAAACAAATTCGTCATCTCATAGATGGGACTATGCGAGGGGCACCTTCACGGGGCACAGAGCCACAGTCACGGGTAATCAAGAGGTCGATGTTTCTACGGAGGAATGTGCAAAGACACCATGGAGCCGCGGCGGGGACAACAGTCAACATTAGGCTTTGAAAATAAGATTACTGGATTTTGTTATTACTTTAACCTGAGCATTCAGTTATTCAGTTCTACTGCTGCTCCACAAACCAAGAATTAGGTTTGCTGACTGGTTACGTTCTCAGCTTCTACTAATGACTCTACTGATTATATCAGGAACATGCATTTTTAAAAATGGAAATGATTATTCCTCTGGCATCCTAATGTTTTCTTTTCAGGCAACATTAAAATATCAGTTTTAATAGGGAATCTTCTTCCCAAACTACATTATTATGTCATGCAACTGTTACATAAAAATTACTTTAAGTCTCAATTTTATTACAATGTGATTTTTTTTTAACTCTTAATTGCTACCATAATGAAGAGATTATTTGTGCCCAGGATTGTGAAAGCACTCGGCATGTATGTTATCTTCAGACTTCTCTTGGTAGCACATGATAGCCACAGGCACATTGTGGACTGTGCATGAGTTGGGCTATGAACTTACATCTGCCCACAGAACGTACATTTCTAACAGCTATAACAACCTCTCACTTTCTTATAATCAGAAAAAGATTTAAAAGGTAAAAATTCAACGTTTTGAATTCATTCTAAGTTATTTATAACTTATTTTAATTAGAAGAAAAAAATCAAAACCCATTAGGCTAGCTACCCCTATGACTCGATAGCTCCCCCTTGAGGTGGAGTGCAAGATGACCACACTTAAAATCCCGATGAGGACAGCTAAACTATAACGAGGATCCAAGACAAACGCAGCTTGGATCTAGGTTTAGATCTAGTCATGACACACAGTGCTTGGGATCCATCTTGTGGAGTTACCTTTGAGTCTTTTGCGTAATAAAGTGTCCGGCCTCGAAGTTTGAAGTATCTCTTTTTCCACCTTTGGAAGGAGCTGGTTTGTTTCAGCAGCTGTCCCTCTTTAATGCTGGTCTGGGGACAGAACAGAGCACAATGACAGGGTGAAACCCCAACCCAGAACCAAATCCCATTCAGAACCCGGAATTCCGAACACCATGGCCGACATCTTACAAATGCCAAGAGCGATGTTTTGTTCACATCACAGGCCAATCAAGAGAATGTACATAAAGTACCAGAAAGTAAAAGAGAATTTCACACGGTTCCCAAAGAATTTGCAGGCGGAATCGGCTACTGATCGATTGTGGGAGACAGAGAGTCATTGTCTTCATCTACGTACCCACTGGTGAATCCACCAGGCTCCCCTGGACAGTCCCAAACCCAAGGCCACACAGACACAGTGGGACACAAAATAAAACAAAAAGACATGAATGTGAGAAAGAGACAGGGGTGGGGGCAGGGTAAAGAAGGAGATAAAAGAAGGTAGGGGTGAGGATAATCAAATTCATCAATTAAACCGTCAAAGAACAAATTAATTAATTTAACAAAAGCATTCGTAGACAGGATGAAAGGCGCACGCACACAAACGAACATCTGCAATGGGTGTGACTTCCACACAGCTTATATAGGGCGAGAATGTTAGAGGTGGCGGGTCATATGCTGACCTCTGGAGCAAATGGCCTCTGGGGCCACACCCATGTGTAATTCCTAGCTTCAGTACAAGTAACTGAAGAACTTAGGCAAGTTATGAACATCTGCATATTCATTTGTACAAAGGGGATGTCAGCAGGGTAGAATGGACAGGCTAGTGTGATAAACAACAGACGCTGTTAGAGGTTAGCTATTACGGCAAACACATACACAAAGAACTATGTGTGGTAGCTCGGAAAGGAAAGAATATTTCAGGCAGCCAGCCTAAGTGGGAGTCGAGGAAGGGCTCCCTGAGGCAGCCTCCATGGGAGGCCTTCATGCAACAACAACAACAACAACAACAACAAAAAGCATATTTGGGGTATCTGAAGTGTCCCTCAAAGGCTCACATGTTGAAGGCTTGGTCACCAATGTGTCTGTGTTTAGAGGAAGAGGTCAATCTTGAGGGCTTGGACTTCACTAATCCATCGATCTATTGCTAAGCCATTAGGAGATGGAAGGGTAGGGCCTACCTGAAAGAACTGGGTCATTCACAGGGGCGGGGAGGGGGGGGAGGGGGGAAGAACAGCAAATGGATACATTTGGTCACCAACCTCTCTCAATCTCCATGTCCCCACACCCTGATACCCTGAGATGAGCAGCTTGGCTCAGCCATGGGTTCCTTCCCACAATGCTCCATTTTACCACAGGCCACAAGTAATAGAGCCAAATGACCACAGACTGAAACTTCCAGAACCGTGAACCAAAACAAAACCTTCTCTTTCAATTGCTCTCCCCACGTATTTTGTCCCAGCAACAGAAAGCAAACTGGCACAGACTCAAGACAGCATAGACACCTGGGACTCTTCAGAGGGCATTCTGGAGCAAATATCTAGAAGCGTTTCCAAGGGAGACAGCAGGAGATGTGCCTGGAGAGGTAGGAGGGCCTCTGTGACTCTGGACTGGATTCTGCTGAGTGCTTTATAGAATGTCAGTTCACTCCTACTGTTCCCAGCAAAATCCTCCAAGCTCTCAGACCCCACCTAGTCTTTGACTCTCTTGGACTTATCTACAATTACCCTTTTTGCTCTTAATTGGAAAAGCATGGTTCAGGCCTAGGTACTGGCTACTGTCTGGGCCTGTCCTGCTCTTCCCTCATCCAGTTAACTCTTGCACTTCAAGTCTTTGGGCCAGGGGAGGATGTTCATTTCTGTCCTGATACAAGTCCTTGATGCATGCACATGTGTGTGCATGCGAGTAGAGGCCAAATAATATTTGTGGGTGTCATTCCTCAGGCACCATCTACCTTTAAAAGATGGGGTTTCTCACTGGCCTGGAGCACACCAGAGAGACAAACCTGGCTGACCACTGAGCTCCAAAGGTTCTCCTGTCTCTGCCTCCCCGAAACTGGGATTACAAGGGCATACCACCAGGTCCAGCTTCCTTCAAACCTTGATCTCAGTGAGACTCATCTCAATGGCCACCTGTTTGACACTACAATATGTTCTCATTCTCTGTGCTTACCCACAAAATATTTCCACAATGTAATTTACTTATTTTACAATCTGTATTGAAATACTAAGTCCCTGAGTTTATTATATGTAGTAAAAATTTAATGTTTCACATTAATTGGAAGAAAAGGAGAAAGGAAAGAGAGAGGCAGACTACTCCAGAGCCTATCTATAAGACTGTCCTCAGGAGACACATCATAACACTGTCTTCAAGAGGGGTCCAGGACAGCTCACACTTATTCTGAATTCAATGCCAGAATAATAATGCTACAGTGAGCCTCGAAAGGCAAAAGCAATGCGGAAAAACAAAGTTAAAAATTGTCCCACTAGACTTCCATGGGGGTATCTCAAATGCCCAGGACACTACCTCCCACGTGCTAATGGGGCCTGTATGAATGGCTGAGATGAACCTTGTGTGATTTCAGAGTTTATTTGTAACTTTAATAATAATGCCTTATATTATCAATAAGCTAAAAAATCTGAGAGAAGTTTCTTGCTGGGAAGGTAATGAGGTCACGTTGATGTTTACTTTGAGTTTCAGGTTCACTTTGTGGTGTGTTCTGAGAGCGTCCACCGGGAAATCACTGCAATTCAATGGTAACAAAATACTTATGAAACTTCAGTACCAGAGAACGGGTCTAGAATCTGACAGACTTCAAGCCAGGCTCTACAACACACTAACAACATGAATCTAGGACACCCCACTTCTCTATGGCCACATTTTCTATCCAAAAACAGAAGGCCATAATAGCAACTTTATAAGCTTATTGCTTTAAAGTTCATGATACAGTGCGTCTGGAGAGCACTTAGAACAGTATTTGGCCTACAGAAAATCTCAGTAAGTGGCACCAAGTATTATTATGATGATGATTTCATTGTGCTATTAAGTTCAAGAGAGTATTTTCCAGGCATGAATTCTAAGAGCTTCCTGGAAAAGGTAAGTAAGTGTTCACCAGCCACTGTCAAGGCAAATAACGGCTGGAGTGGATGGAAAATATCAAGACATGAAGTTGTAAGAGATGAGTCAGGATCTGCCAGCCATGAGGAGGAACTTGCCTTTTACTGTAAGTACAAAGGGCTAGTGAAATGTTTGAGGCAGAAGAGGAGCTTCTACTGGGCATGCTGGACAGCCAAGCCCAGGAGACTTCATCTCATACAGCTAACTGCAGAAAACTGGTGAGAACATGGCGGTAGGCTGGGGTGATGGTGGTAGAGGTGGGGAGGAGCAGGCTTTGGAGAAGCACAGCTCAAAGGTCCATCCTTACATTCAGTGAGGAGTGCGATGGAAAGGCTACCATGCTACAGTGAATGGTGAAAACCACGACTTCCTTCTGAAGTCAAGACCGCCCAGGAACAGCTCTGACCCGCTCGCTCTTGGAGCCAACATGGCAAGACCAGATAAAGTGGGGACTATCCACCAGGGTTACCATCCTAACAGATCCAACCAGCCCACATTCTGGCACCTTCCTTGAGTTGTACAAGCAAGATGGCTCATCTCAAAAGCTCGCCCAGGACCTAGATAAAACGCTACAAATTATGAAGAGACTCTCACTCCTTAGGCCGCATGATGAGATATAACAACTCATATGACACCACACGGCACACATCCCCTCTCAGCCTCCCGCCTGCTCTGCCTTCTTCCACCTCCTAGCTCCTCCTTCCAGTCAACCAAACAGCGTATGTTCCTTCTGCTAAAAGCCTTAAATCCAACTGCAAAGAACTGTCACCCCTCGTCAAGAGCCTAGTCTGGTAGCAAGGAGAAATTCTCTGCGTGCGTGCCGGATGTTAGAAGGTCTGATTAGGAAGGTTTGAAACAAATGGTCACTAGTCGTGTCACACTGATTGTGACAGCTCCTCTGGGAGAGACTCCATAGTAGAGGCAGAGTCCCAGGTCGTCACCAACCACAGAGGGCACTGGTGAGGCGCCAAGGCTGCAGCCCTCCCTGTGACCCATGAGCCTCTGGACCAAGTTCACACTGAGGGCACATCTGCCATGACCTACATTTGCCTTTTTGATCGAGTCCTCGGGGAAGTCTACCTTGTGACCAAATCCCAGGGCCCTCTCTTCTACTGGATCCTTAAGAGCACAAGGCTCTCCTCTCCCCCGCCTTTGAACTGAAGCTCTACTTGTGAGAAAATTGACTTCGATGCAGCTGGAGAGGTCAAGATGGGACGATCCTTGGGGCTCACTAGCCAGTCAGCAAGTTCCAGGTTCACTGAGAAACTCTGTCTCAAAAACTAAGATGGAGAGCAGCTGAGGAAAATACCTGGCACTGACCTCTGACCTTCACACACCTGTACACACACACACACACACACACACACACACACACACATACAAACAGAAACATAACAGTTTCACTCTGTGTTTCCTATTCCTCCTAGCTTACTTCAAACAGTAATTGGCCAGGGGGAACCATCTTGGTAATAAGGTTATTTTAGCTTGAGACTATGGAAGATCTTACTTACACCTTAATAACTTCTAATAGCCAAACAATAGTTTCCCATCTTAATCTATTCGGTTTCATGGCTTGGAGCTTCAGAAAGCATACACTCGTGACTCAAAGAAGGACAGAAATCATAGAAAGGTTAAGAAGGAATGTGGGAAGAATGGTATTAGACACTATAGCAGTGTGGTGATTATGGCCCCTACAGGCCACCATAATTGAATGCTTAGTCATCTAGGAGTGGCATTATTTGAAAGGACTATAAGGTTTGGAAAGTATGCCCTTGTTGGAGGAAGTGTGTCACTGGGGGTGGGCTGTACGGTTTCAAAAGCCCATGCCAGGTCCAATGGTTCTCTCTCTCTCTGCTTGTGGCCCAGGTTATAGCTCTCAGCTATCCTCCAGCCCCACGCCTGCCTGCTGCCATGCTCTCCGCCATGCTCTCCGCCATGATGACAATGGACTAAGCCTTGAAACTGTAAGCCAGCCC